GGGCGTGAGTGCAGTAGTTGCTTCTGGGGAATGAGTACAATAGCTGCTTTTGGGGAGTGAGTGCATTAGCTGCTCCTGAGATGTGAGTGCAGTAGCTGCTCCTGAGGAGTGAGTGCAGCAGCTGCTGCTGGGGAGTGCAGCAGCTGCTGCTGGGAAGTGAGTGCAGTAGCTTCTCCTGAGGGGTGAGTGCAGCAGCTGCTGCTGGGGAGTGCAGCAGCTGCTGCTGGGAAGTGAGTGCAGTTGCTGCTCCTGAGGAGTGAGTGCAGTAGCTGCTGCTGGGGAGTGAGTGCAGTAGCTGATGTTGGGAAGTGAGTACAGTTGCTGTTCCTGAGGAGTGAGTGCAGTAGCTGCTTCTGGGGAGTGAGTGCAGTAACTTCTCCTGGGGAGTGAGTGCAGTAGCTGCTTCTGGGGAGTGAGTGCAGTAGCTGCTTCTGGGGAGTGAGTGCAGTAGCTGCTCCTGGGGAGTGAGTGCAGTAGCTTCTCCTGGGGAGTGATTGCAGTAACTTCTCCTGGGGAGTGAGTGCAGTAACTTCTCCTGGGGAGTGAGTGCAGTAACTTCTCCTGGGGAATGAGTGCAGTAGCTTCTCCTGGGGAGTGAGTGCAGTAGCTTCTCCTGGGGAGTGAGTGCAGTAGCTTCTCCTGGGGAGTGAGTGCAGTAGCTTCTTCTGGGGAGTGAGTGCAGTAGCTGCTTTTGGGGAGTGAGTGCAGTAGCTTCTCCTGGGTAGTAAGTATAGTAGCTGCTTCTGGAGAGTGAGTGCAGTAGCTGCTTCTGGGGAGTGAGTACAGTAGCTTCTCCTGGGGAGTGAGTGCAGTAGCAGCTCCTGGGGAGTGAGTGCAGTAGCTGCTCCTGAGGAGTGAGTGCAGTAGCTGCTCCTGAGGAGTGAGTGCAGTAGCTGCTTCTGGGGAGTGAGTGCAGTAGCTGCTTTTTGGAAGTGAGTGTGGTAGCTGCTTATGTGGAGTGAGTGCGGTAGCTGCTCCTGGGGAGTGAGTGCAGTAGCTGCTCCTGGGAAGTGAGTGCAGTAGCTGCTCCTGAGGAGTGAGTGCAGTAGCTGCTTCTGGGGAGTGAGTGCAGTAGCTGCTCCTGGGGAGTGAGTTCAGTAGCTGCTTCTGGGGAGTGAGTGCAGTAGCTGCTTCTGGGGAGTGAGTGTAGTAGCTGCTTCTGGGGAGTGAGTGTAGTAGCTGCTTCTGGGGAGTGAGTGCAGTAGCTGCTTCTGGGGAGTGAGTGCAGTAGCTGCTTCTGGGGAGTGAGTGCAGTAGCTGCTTCTGGGGAGTGAGTGCAGTAGCTGCTTCTGGGGAGTGAGTGCAGTAGCTGCTTCTGGGGAGTGAGTGCAGTAGCTGCTTCTGGGGAGTGAGTGCAGTAGCTGCTTCTGGGGAGTGAGTGCAGTAGCTGCTTCTGGGGAGTGAGTGCAGTAGCTGCTTCTGGGGAGTGAGTGCAGTAGCTGCTTCTGGGGAGTGAGTGCAGTAGCTGCTTCTGGGGAGTGAGTGCAGTAGCTGCTTCTGGGGAGTGAGTGCAGTAGCTGCTTCTGGGGAGTGAGTGCAGTAGCTGCTTCTGGGAGTGAGTGCAGTAGCTGCTTCTGGGGAGTGAGTGCAGTAGCTGCTTCTGGGGAGTGAGTGCAGTAGCTGCTTCTGGGGAGTGAGTGCAGTAGCTGCTTCTGGGGAGTGAGTGCAGTAGCTGCTTCTGGGGAGTGAGTGCAGTAGCTGCTTCTGGGGAGTGAGTGCAGTAGCTGCTTCTGGGGAGTGAGTGCAGTAGCTGCTTCTGGGGAGTGAGTGCAGTAGCTGCTTCTGGGGAGTGAGTGCAGTAGCTGCTTCTGGGGAGTGAGTGCAGTAGCTGCTTCTGGGGAGTGCAGTAGCTGCTTCTGGGGAGTGCAGTAGCTGTTTCTGGGGAGTGCAGTAGCTGCTTCTGGGGAGTGCAGTAGCTGCTTCTGGGGAGTGCAGTAGCTGCTTCTGGGGAGTGAGTGCAGTAGCTGCTTCTGGGGAGTGAGTGCAGTAGCTGCTCCTGGGGAGTGAGTGCAGTAGCTGCTCCTGGGGAGTGAGTGCAGTAGCTGCTCCTGGGGAGTGAGTGCAGTAGCTGCTCCTGGGGAGTGAGTGCAGTAGCTGCTCCTGGGGAGTGAGTGCAGTAGCTGCTCCTGGGGAGTGAGTTCAGTAGCTGCTCCTGGGGAGTGAGTGCAGTAGCTGCTCCTGGGGAGTGAGTGCAGTAGCTGCTTCTGGGGAGTGAGTGCAGTAGCTGCTTCTGGGGAGTGAGTGCAGTAGCTGCTTCTGGGGAGTGAGTGCAGTAGCTGCTTCTGGGGAGTGAGTGCAGTAGCTGCTTCTGGGGAGTGAGTGCAGTAGCTGCTTCTGGGGAGTGAGTGCAGTAGCTGCTTCTGGGGAGTGAGTGCAGTAGCTGCTTCTGGGGAGTGAGTGCAGTAGCTGCTTCTGGGGAGTGAGTGCAGTAGCTGCTTCTGGGGAGTGAGTGCAGTAGCTGCTTCTGGGGAGTGAGTGCAGTAGCTGCTTCTGGGGAGTGAGTGCAGTAGCTGCTTCTGGGGAGTGAGTGCAGTAGCTGCTTCTGGGGAGTGAGTGCAGTAGCTGCTTCTGGGGAGTGAGTGCAGTAGCTGCTTCTGGGGAGTGAGTGCAGTAGCTGCTTCTGGGGAGTGAGTGCAGTAGCTGCTTCTGGGGAGTGAGTGCAGTAGCTGCTTCTGGGGAGTGAGTGCAGTGGCTGCTTCTGGGGAGTGAGTGCAGTGGCTGCTTCTGGGGAGTGAGTGCAGTGGCTGCTTCTGGGGAGTGAGTGCAGTGGCTGCTTCTGGGGAGTGAGTGCAGTGGCTGCTTCTGGGGAGTGAGTGCAGTGGCTGCTTCTGGGGAGTGAGTGCAGTGGCTGCTTCTGGGGAGTGAGTGCAGTAGCTGCTGCTGGGGAGTGAGTGCAGTGGCTGCTTCTGGGGAGTGAGTGCAGTGGCTGCTTCTGGGGAGTGAGTGCAGTAGCTGCTCCTGGGGAGTGAGTGCAGTAGCTGCTTCTGGGAAGTGAGTGCAGTAGCTGCTTCTGGGAAGTGAGTGCAGTAGCTGCTTCTGGGGAGTGAGCGCAGTAGCTGCTTCTGGGGAGTGAGCGCAGTAGCTGCTTCTGGGGAGTGAGCGCAGTAGCTGCTTCTGGGGAGTGAGCGCAGTAGCTGCTTCTGGGGAGTGAGCGCAGTAGCTGCTTCTGGGGAGTGAGCGCAGTAGCTGCTTCTGGGGAGTGAGCGCAGTAGCTGCTTCTGGGGAGTGAGCGCAGTAGCTGCTTCTGGGGAGTGAGCGCAGTAGCTGCTTCTGGGAGTGAGCGCAGTAGCTGCTTCTGGGGAGTGAGCGCAGTAGCTGCTTCTGGGGAGTGAGCGCAGTAGCTGCTTCTGGGGAGTGAGCGCAGTAGCTGCTTCTGGGGAGTGAGCGCAGTAGCTGCTTCTGGGGAGTGAGCGCAGTAGCTGCTTCTGGGGAGTGAGCGCAGTAGCTGCTTCTGGGGAGTGAGCGCAGTAGCTGCTTCTGGGGAGTGAGCGCAGTAGCTGCTTCTGGGGAGTGAGCGCAGTAGCTGCTTCTGGGGAGTGAGCGCAGTAGCTGCTTCTGGGGAGTGAGCGCAGTAGCTGCTTCTGGGGAGTGAGCGCAGTAGCTGCTTCTGTGGAGTGAGCGCAGTAGCTGCTTCAGTGGAGTGAGCGCAGTAGCTGCTTTTGGGAAGTGAGCGCGGTAGCTGCTTCTGGGGAGCGAGTGCGGTAGCTGCTCCTGGGGAGCGAGTGCGGTAGCTGCTCCTGGGGAGCGAGTGCGGTAGCTGCTCCTGGGGAGCGAGTGCGGTAGCTGCTCCTGGGGAGCGAGTGCGGTAGCTGCTCCTGGGGAGCGAGTGCGGTAGCTGCTCCTGGGGAGTGAGTGCGGTAGCTGCTCCTGGGGAGTGTGGTAGCTGCTTCTGGGGAGTGAGTGCGGTAGCTGCTTCTGGGGAGTGAGTGCGGTAGCTGCTTCTGGGGAGTGAGTGCGGTAGCTGCTTCTGAGGAGTGAGTGCGGTAGCTGCTTCTGAGGAGTGAGTGCGGTAGCTGCTTCTGAGGAGTGAGTGCGGTAGCTGCTTCTGAGGAGTGAGTGCGGTAGCTGCTTCTGAGGAGTGAGTGCGGTAGCTGCTTCTGAGGAGTGAGTGCGGTAGCTGCTTCTGAGGAGTGAGTGCGGTAGCTGCTTCTGGGGAGTGAGTGAGCTGATGCCACCTTCGCCCTAACACTGACATGCTTTACCACTGAGCGGGATGAATCATGAAAATGAAATCTTAGTAAATCACTGGAAAATTAAAAACAAGTATTTTCTGAAAATAAAATTTAGGTGAAACCTAATTTCTTACAGGATTTCCTATAATTATGGAGCTCAGTATTTAAGATACGTGATGTGAAAGACAAGAGTGAATTGAAGAGAATGGGTAGTTAATGTTTAATTGCAAGAATATTGTGGGAAAGTATGGTAATTGTGCAGAATGACTGTGCTAATAGTAGTCTGTAGTTGAGTTAGTGTAGGTTTCCATGGTGGATACTGCATAGTAACTTAGAAATTTTCATGTTTATATGCTCTGTGTATAATGTAATAAATTTATTTTGTATGGTTTTTCCTCTCAAGGGAAGTTCCTTGATGCTGGTGAGGGGCTCTTCATCTAGGGAATTGGATCTGTGCTCCAGTTCCCTGAATCGAGTCTGAATACCTTCCATTCCCACCCCCCCACGTGCGCTGTGTAATCCTACTGGTTTAGCGCTCCCCCATGATTATAATAACAATAATAATATTTGTACTGTTTTTATAAAATTTGAATAGCTGTACATTACTGAATAACATTGCCAAAACCTATCAAACTCGGTAAACAGAAATATCTACATACTTGTAGATATTTATGTTTAATGAATAATTCGTGATTTGTGTTAATTGTTAAAGGTATGTTCTACATACTGTTAATAATTTTAGGCGATAACAAGTAGATTTATTTCTTGCTTATGCTAAGGCATTTTGTATTGTAACTTTTAATTATAAGCCAATGTTTGTGTTGTCAGGTTCCGGTGTGGAGACACCAACATCAGAGCCCGGTGTGAGTTTAACTGACATGTGGGACTGTGACTGGGAAGATGAGCCTGAAGATAGGTTTATTTACCGTCACCAGGTGAGTGTATCCATTTAACCCTCCTTCAGCAATTAATCTGACTGTAAACTGTTTCCTCTTCATGATCTTACTTAATAGTCATGCACAGATAATGACACATCAGCCTTATCATACAGGCATCCTTGGTATCTCATGTATTTATGATGGTTTAGTGCCGAAGACTTTTTTAATGAAATGTGTTGCTGTTAATTTTGTTGGACACCTCTGCTGCATGTGATACCATTTATGAATTAGAGATGAATGATCTTTTTGGCCATGTCCATAAAGATACTGCACTGTCACTTCTGAAATTGTGTCTTTCTGGTCAGCCATATTAAATAGTGGTCAATGATTCTTTACCTGAGCTATCTCCTTTACCCTATGTCATTCCTCAGGGCTCTGTTCTTGACCAGTATTGTTTACTGTCTGATGTAGTCTTACTGTTGGATGTGCTTGGGATTGAAAAAAATTATTATACTGATGATATACAAGCATACATCCAGGGTTTAAATGTGGAAGATGCAAAACTACTTTAACTTTCTCTTGCTGGATAGAACTTGGATGGCAGATAGAAAATTGACACTAAATGGGGGTTAAGACAGAGGTTTTGATTGTCAGAAGAAGTACAAATTGGAAATTTTGGTGCTTTGATTGTGGTACTATCAGTTTGCAGCCTGTGAGATCAGTGAAGGATCTGGACTTTATCAACATGATTGTTTCATTTTGAATTGATTTTGGCAGTTTAGGGATTTGCCTAACTATTTGCTAAAATGACTAGGGCTCTCATTAGTCCCAACTTGTATGAGCTGCATAGGCTCCATAGCAAGGCAAGAATTGAATTTGTACTCTACCTTCTGTGAATTACTGCAGATCCTTTTAGACTGATTGAACCTTGTGCTGATGGGAAGAAATCATTTGCAGAATGATTTCTGAGAGATTGTTTAACAGGAACAAGACTGTTCGTGCTCTAAAGTATAAGTTGAAAGCATGTCTCGTTTCTTGCATTTATGGTCCTGATCATACTTTAAATCTTTATTGTTGTTGCTTTTATTCCTTGGTGTGCAAGTGCATATTATTTTCTTGAAAGAACATGTGCTCAAGAATAACAAAATCCCAAATTATCATTATTATTACTTTTTTCTTGACACTGGCCGTCTCCCAACAAGATAGGGTGACTTGAAAACAAAGAAATATTTCACCATTACTCGCTCTTATTGCTGTCTTGCCATAGGCACGCTGATACTACAGTTCACATCCCCCTCCAAACAGCAAATATCCCCAACTTTCAGAGTGCAGGTACTGTACTTCCTGCCTTCAGAACTCTTAGGTCCAACCATCCAGTTTTCCCTGAATCTCTTCACAAATGTTTTTTTCTTACACTCCAACAACTCGAGTCCCAAAAACCATTTGTTTCCTCTCTTGTGTAACTTGTTCACACAAGCCTTCTGGATATCCATGCTTCTCACATGCAAAACATCTTTTATCCTCTCCCTCCAGCCTTTCCTAGGGTGACCCCTACCCTGCCTTCCCTTCACCATAGATTTATACACCCTCCAAGTCATCCTATTTTGCTTCATCATCTCTTAAGGTTAGTGGACAAGTTTGGGAGTGTGTGTAAAGGTAGAAAGTTGAAAGTGAACATAGAAAAGAGTAAGATGATGAGGGTATCAAATGATTTAGATAAAGAAAAATTGGATATCAAATTGGGGAGGAGGAGTATGGAAGAAGTGAATGTTTTCAGATACGTGGGAGTTGATGTGTCGGCGGATGGATTTATGAAGGATGAGGTTAATCATAGAATTGATGAAGGAAAAAAGGCTAGTGGTGCGTTGAGGTATATGTGGAGACAAAAAATGTTATCTATGGAGGCAAAGAAGGGAATGTATGAAAGTATAGTAGTACCAACACTCTTATATGGATGTGAAGCTTGGGTTGTAAATGCTGCAGTGAGGAGGCGGTTGGAGGCAGTGGAGATGTCCTGTCTAAGGGCAATGTGTGGTGTAAACATTATGCAGAAAATTTGGAGTGTGGAAATTAGAAGGTTTGGAGTTAATGAAAGTACAGTGGACCCTCGCCTAACGATATTAATCCGTTCCTGAGAGCTCATCGTTAGCCGAGTAAATTTTCCCCATAAGAAATAATGGAAATCCGATTAATCCGTTCCAGACAGCCAAAAGTATTAAAAAATTATTTTTTTCATGAAATATACATTTCCCTACAAAGAAAACAATAAGACATGCACAATAACTACATAAATAAATGTTAAAATGACACTTACCTTTATTGAAGAGTGATGAGACACTGTTTTTCTTGAACACTGGGATTTTCAGAGTGATACACCAGTAAAGGCTTCACTTTGCAATCCCCACTAGCATTACAACAAAACATGAGAGTTAGCCTGTCTTTCATAGGCTTGTGTCCTGGGAGTGCCTTTTCCTCCTGAGTAATGTAGGTCCTGATGGCATTTTCTTCCAGAACAGACCTGTTTCGTCACGAACACTTGTTGAGGGATGAATTTTTCAGCTTCGCCATGCCTTATTGCACTGTGTATGCCACTACAATTCTTAAATCTCTCAAACCAACCTTTGCTGGCCTTAAATTCACCAATATGAGCACTAGTTCCAGGCATTTTTTCCTGTTCACCTTGGTGTTAGTTGACTGTTGTGGGTCGCATCCTGGGGGACAAGATAAAGGACCCCAATGGAAATAAGTTAGACAGTCCTCGATGATGCACTGACTTTCTTGGGTTATCCTGGGTGGCTAACCCTCTGGGGTTAATCGTTTCTCGGTAATTGTTTCACGTTAAGCCACACCAACAACACACACTCCACATCTTTGAGTAGTACAGCTGACTGTGGTGGAGCAACAGCTGACTGTGGTGGAGCAACAGCTGACTGTGGTGGAGCAACAGCTGACTGTGGTGGAGCAACAGCTGACTGTGGTGCAGCAGCAGCTGACCATGGTAGAGCAACAGCTAACTGTGGCCAGGCAACAGATGACTGTGGTCAGCAGCAGCTGACCATGGTGCAGCAGCAGCTGACTGATCCAGCAACAGATGACTGGTCCAGCAACAGCTGACCGTGGTGCAGCAGCAGCTGACTGATCCAGCAACAGCTGACTGGTCCAGCAACAGCTGACCGTGGTGCAGCAGCAGCAGACTGATCCAGCAGCAGCTGACTGGTCCAGCAGCAGCTGACCTGATGCCAGCAACAGCGACTGATCCAGCAACAGCTGACTGGTCCAGCAGCAGCTGACTTGGTGCATCAGCAGCTGACTGTCCAAGCAACAGCTGACCTGTGCAGCAGCACTGACTGATACGATAATTATGCACCTTGTCCAGCAACAGCTGACCATTGTGCATAGCAGACAGCATAACATGGTCCACAACAGCTGATGTCAGCAACAGCTGCACCTGGCTTGACAGAGCAGCGACTGGGGCTCAGTGGATATTCACCATTTGTTAGAACAGGGATTGGTCAACTAGCAGCTACTGTGGGCCCAGTGCTTATTTCAGCAACAATGCACTATCACAACAATGAATGATCACAAAATGTAGCTGATTGTATGCATAGATACGTCCACCCTTTGTACACAGTTGACTAAAGGCTTCTGAGGCCCATGGTGGCTATTGACAGTTCGGACGATTCATGGTTACAAAAAGATGATGGTGGATGCAACAGCACCCTGGACTTGGAACAAGCTGACTGATCCAGCAACAGCTGAGCGCTCCCGAACAGTGACATGTGGCAGGAATACATTGATATCACGGCCAAAGTTTGTACAACTCAAACGTTTCGTAGCAGATTTAAAGTATGGTCGATGTTTTATCACCCTTATTTTAGCACAGGGTTGGCACTAAAAGCTTTCTTTGGGCCCATGGTGGCTTATTTAGCAGTTACGAGCACTATAAACAATGGAATAATACAAAATGTATCGAATGTATGCATGCAACCAGCCACCCTGGCTTGAAAACAATGACGACAAGGCAGCTGAGGCGCTCAAGCTGGGTGGACATGTATGGGAGGAATCACATTGGGCGAGTTTTTTATCGTTAAGCGGGCCAAAATTTTTACACTCAAACGCTTCGTTAGGAGGATTTAACGTTATGCGATGCGTTCGTTAGGTGAGGGTCCTCTGTATTATTCAGAGGGCTGAAGAGGGGTTGTTGTTGTGGTTTGGTCATTTAGAGAGAATGGATCAAGGTAGAATGACATGGAGAACGTATAAATCTAGGGAAAGGAAGGCGGGGTAGGGGTCGTCCTCGAAAAGGTTGGAGGGAGGGGGTAAAGGAGGTTTTGTGGGCGAGGGGCTTGGACTTCCAGCAAGTGTGTGTGAGCATGTTAGATAGGAGTGAATGGAGACGAATAGTATTTGGGACCTGACGATCTGTTGGAGTGTGAGCAGGGTAATATTTAGTGAAGGGATTCAGGGAAACCGGTTATTTTTATATAGCTGGACTTGAGTCCTGGAAATGTGAACTACAATTCCTGCACTTTAAAGGAGGGGTTTGGGATATTGGCAGTTTGGAGGGATACGTTGTGTATCTTTATTCGTATATGCTTCTAAACTGTTGTATTCTGAGCACCTCTGCAAAAACAATGATTATGTGTGAGTGAGGTGAATGATGAAAGTATTTTCTTTTTGGGAATTTTCTTTCTTTTTGGGTTACCCTGCCTTGGTGGGAGACGGCCGACTTGTTAAAAAAAAAAAAAATCTCTAAATGACCAAACACTTCAGCAACCCCTCCTCAGTCCTCTTGATAATAGTTTTAGTAATCACTCTCCTCCAGTTTCCAAGCTACGAATTCTCTGCATTATATTTATGCCACACATTCCCCTCAGACACGACATCTCCACTGCCTCCAACCTTCTCCTTGCTGGAATGTTCACAGCCCATGCTTCACATCCATATAAGAGTATTGGTACCACTATACTCTTATACATTTCACTTTTTTGCCTCCATGGATAATGTTCTTTGTCTCCACAGATGCCTCAATCCATCACCAATCTTTTTTCCTTTAT